TTTTTTGTTTTAGGAAACTCAAAATCATAAACCATCTGAGTTTGTGTTGTGACTAGAGTTAGTCACAAGTTAAAGTCTTTGTAACTAGTGAGTGACAAAGTAGCTTATGATAAGTGTATCACAAGTTAGAACGTTTGAAGTCTTTGTAATAGAGTCATTACAAAGTGGCTTGTAATAGTGTAGTTACAAGTTAGTGAAGTTGAAAGCCTACAAGTGTAGGTCATAGTTTTTGTCCCCTTGAGTTGGGAGTGTCCACGTAAAAATCCTGTGTCTCATTTACATACGTTTTAGTAGTTAGCACTAAGGGAACTGTTATAGGACCCGGTCTCTATACAGTTGGTGGACTCATATAAACTATCAATTGGTATCAGAGCAGGTTTTTTTTTAAAAGGTTAACACCTAGAAAGGATCTTAATTGCTGCCCCACCTAACTTTGAGAAAGGACAATCAACCTACAGACTTCCTAGATTCAATGGTCAATACTACGGCTGGTGGAAGACTTGTATGCATGACTTTATAATGGCAGGAGACTCTGAGCTGTGGGACGTCATTTGTTATGGTCCACATGTTCCTATGAAGACGGTTGGAAAATCTGGAGTAATGGTGCCTAAAACCAGAAAAGAATACAGTGACATCGACAGAAAAGCTGTTGAAAAGAATTTTCGTGCCAAGAAAATTTTGGTATGTGGTATAGGACCTTATGAGTACAATAGAATCTCAGCCTGTCAATCTGCCAAGGAAATATGGGAAGCATTGCAAACGGCACATGAAGGAACTAGTCAAGTTAAACAGTCCAAGATTGACATGCTCACCATCGAGTATTTGCTCTTCAAAATGAAAGATGATGAGTCTATACAAGATTTGCACACTAGATTCACATCTATCATAAATGAGCTTCATTCACTTGGAGAAATTATTCCTACAAACAAGCTTGTGAGGAAAGTTCTTAGCGTTCTACCTACCTCTTGGGAGAGTAAGGTGAATGCTATCACTGAAGCTAAAGATTTGCAAACTCTAACCATGGATGAGCTGATTGGAAATCTGAAGACATACGAGATAAAAAGAAGAAAGACACTGAAAGAAGAGAGCCAAAGAAGGAGAAGAACCTGGTGCTCAATGCAGAAAACAGTGACTCAAGTGAAGAAGATAGTGATATGGCCTATCTCACTAAAAGGTTTCAAAAGATGGTTCGAAGAAACAGTGGTATACCAAAGAGGGGCAATTCAAGTAAACCAAGGAACTATGATCTGTGTCACAAGTGTGGAAAGTCAGGGCATTTCATCAAAGACTGTCCACTTCTGAAACAAGAGCATTACAAACACAACACTGACAAAGGAGCAAAAAGGAACCCAGTCCCTGACAAACGATTCAGCCGAAAAAGTGTAGCTGATAATGTTGTGAAGCAAGCCCTAGCTGCATGGGGAGATTCCTCCAGTAAATCAGAAAGGGAACCAGATTCAGGAAAGAGCTCCATGATGGCAGTGGAAAATGAAGCAAAGGAATATGACTCACTGTTTGTATTGATGGCTCAGTCTGATGATGATGAAGAGGATGACAATGATGAGGTAAATTTCAGGGATGTTCAGAGAAATTTGAAGTCCTACTCTTCTAAGAAATTGATATCATTAGCAAATGTTCCAATTGATTCATATAATAGCCTTATTAATGATAAGGATATCTTGACCAAAGAGCTAGGAGATGCTGAACAATCTAAAGATGATCTAGTGGTCTGTGTGGTTGATTTAAATGAGACTATAGGCAATCTTGAAAAAGAAAAAGAAGCTCTAACTGAAAAAATAAATAGTGTAGAAAATTAGAGAGATGACTTGATGGTAGTGGTTGTTGACTTGAGGGAAACCATAGAAAACTTTAGCAATGAAAAGCATACTCTAGAAGAGAAAATTGCAGCTACTGAGCAAGAAAGGGATGACTTTTTAGTGATAATCACAGACCTAGAGGAAACTATTGAGGGACTCAAATCAGAACATAGGCCTGTAAGTATTAAGAAAGGGAAAGAAGTAGCTAGTGAGACACACATCAAGCTTGAAAAGGAATTAAATGATGTGAAAACTAGTCTATGTGGGGAACTTGAGAAAAATAGGCAACTTCAAGCTGAATTGGAGAAAGTAAAAATTGACCTTGAAAAATCTCTTAAGTGGACCTGGTCCTCAGAGGCTGTCACTGCCATGTATCTCAACAATAGTGGAAATAGGCAGGGAATCCGATTCCAAAAGGAGAAAACTCCTTACAACCCTCACAGCAAGTACATCACTGTTCCTGATAATTGGCTTTGTACCCACTATGGGTACAATGGGCACTTCAAAGAAAATTGCCAGGCCAGGGATCAATTCGTTCAGAAAAACAAAGTGTTTGCTGAAAAAGTAACTACTAGAGGGGGACCAAGTACCAGTCGCAAAAATCACATATTGCCTGCATGGACTAGAAAAGCTCTTATCCACCCTTTTCCTCATTACAAGGGAACCAAACTAGTTTGGGTTCCTAAATCTAACCCGTAATTTATATGTGCAGGGAACAGTGAGAGGAAGCGGACTGCAATGGATCATGGACAGTGGATGCTCAAAGCAGATGACTGGAAACACCATGGACTTTCTCTCACTGAAAGCCCTGCAAGGAGGGAATGTATCCTTTTGAAATGGAAAAAAAGGGTACATTCTCGGTGTCGGAAAGGTTGGAAAGTCTCTTTCACACTCAATTGAGAATGTGTACTTTGTGGGTGGCCTGAAGTACAGTCACTTGAGTGTCTCTCAAATCTGTGATAAAGGAAACAAAGTAGAATTCTTGTCTAAAGTATGCACAGTTACAAATCTTGTAACTGATGAAGTGGTTCTAGTAGCCAAAAGATACAAGAACATCTATGTTGCTGATTTTGAATCTCTACAAGCTGCTGATATGAGCTGCTTGAAGGCACTTGATAATTATGCGGAGCTTTGGCATAGAAGATTGGGGCATGCAAGTTTCTCACTTCTGAATAAATTGATACAGAAGTACCTGGTTCTTGGTCTGCCAAATTCGAAGTTCAAAGAACACGGAGTGTGTAATGCATGTGCTAGAGGAAAACATGTGAAATCATCTTTTAAGCCAAAGAAGGATGTCAGCATATCAAAACCACTCGAACTCCTTCACATGGATTTTTGTGGTCCTATGAGAATACCAAGCAGGGGTGGAAAGAAGTATATCTTTGTGATTGTGGACGACTATTCAAGATTCACTTGGACACGGTTTCTTAGGACAAAAGATGAGACTTTCGAGGTATTTATGGCTTTTGTCAAGAAAATCCAAGTGAAGATGGAATTGAAAGTAGCTTGCATCAGATCTGACTATGGAACAGAATTTGACAACGCAAAATTTGATGAGTTTTGCAATGAAAATGGGATTACTCACAACTTCTCAGCTCCAAGGACTCCACAGCAAAATGGTGTTGTTGAAAGAAAGAACAGAACTCTGGAAGACATGGTACGGACAATGCTCATTGATAGTGGAATAGCAAAAAATTTCCGGGCAGAGGCAATAAACGTTGCGTGCTACTTGGTGAACAGGTGCATGATCAGGTCCCCCCCTGAAAAAAACTATGTATGAGTTACTCAATGGTAGAAAACCAAAGATAACTCATTTGAGAACCTTTGGATGCAAATGCTATGTTCTCAACAATGGGAAGAACCAACTTGGGAAGTTTGATGCAAAAAGTGATGAAGGAATCTTTCTGGGATATTCCTCTCAAAGCAAAGCTTACAAAGTCTACAACAAAAGGACACAATGTGTGGAATAAAGTGTCCATGTGTTGTTCAACGAGACACCCTCTTCTAACAAGGAAGGAAACAGTGATGATCAAGACAATGAACCACTTTTGGTTCCTGGGGAAATATATGATGTTTCAAATGGCAAGGCTGATATGATGAGCCAAATGAGGGAAGCAGGTGAAGAAAATACGACATCCTCTCCCACTTCTCAAGAGGAACCTGGTACTCCAATCACTACCACTGAAGTTGAAGAAAGAGATGGAGATGCAGTCCAAGGCACTCCACAGATAGCAGAACAAGGAGTGCAGGGAAATCCATCCAATTTGCCCAGTTCCTCTACCAATCAAACTTCAGTCCCAAATTGGAAACACAAAAGCTCCCATCCACTTGATAATATAATCACCCCTTGATTCTGGAGTTCAGACAAGATCACAAACCAGAAATTCCCTAGCCTTCTCTACATTTCTATCCCAGATAGAACCAAAAAATATCAAGGGAGGCTTGAAGGATGCTGACTGGATTACGGCAATGCAAGAGGAACTACATCAATTTGAAAGAACACCTGGTACCTAGACCCTCAGACAGAACCATCATAGGAACCAGGTGGGTATTCAGGAATAAGCTGGATGAACATGGAAATACTACAAGAAACAAAGAAGGGCTTGTTGTTCCAGGATACAATCAGGAGGAAGGGATCGATTATGATGAAACATTTGCCCCGTTGCTCGGATGGAAGCCATTCGGATCCTCATTGCCTTTGCATCACATATGGAATTCACCTTATTCCAGATGGATGTGAAGAGTGCCTTCCTGAATGATTTTCTTAAGGAAGAAGTCTATGTCAAGCAACCTCCAGGTTTTGAATGTCATGTACATCCTGAACATGTATTCAAATTGGATAAGGCACTGTATGGATTGAAGCAGGCCCCTAGAGCCTGATATGAGAGGCTATCCAAGTTTCTCTTGGAAAATGGTTTCACAAGGAGAAAGATTGATAATACATTGTTTTTGAAGAAACGGGGAAGGAACCTGCTCATTGTTCAGGTTTATGTGGATGACATCATATTTGGGACTACTGCAGACTCCCTATGTGAAGAATTTGCTAAACTCATGGGAAGTGAGTTTGAAATGAGTATGATGGGGAAAATGAATTTCTTCTTGGGTCTTCAAGTGAATCAGTCCATAAATGGAACATGTATCAGTCAACAGAAATACATCAAAGAACTTCTGGAAAGGTTTGATATGGAAGAACCGAAGGTGATTGATACCCCCATTGCTACTGCTACTAAGCTAGACATGGATGATTCTGGATCATCCATAAATCAAAAAATGTATCGGGGAATTATTGGCTCTCTACTCTACCTCACTACCAGCTGGCCAGACATTGTATTCAGTGTGGGTTTATGTGCAAGTCTTCAAACAAATCCTAAGGAATATCATCTGAACGCTGCTAAGAGAATTCTGAGATATCTGAAGGGCACACAGGACTTGGTTCTATATTATCCTTCAGGTGACAATTTCAACCTTACTGGTTATGCTGACGCTGATTATGCAGGTTATCTGGTAGACAGGAAGAGCACATCTGGAATGGCTCATTTTCTTGGATCATGTTTAATCTCATGGGGTACAAGGAAACAATACTCAGTGGCTCTCTCAACAGCTGAAGCAGAATATGTTGCAGTTGCCTCGTGCTGTGCTCAGTTACTATGGATCAAGCAACAATTGGAAGATTTTAGGGTATACATTGATTGTGTACCGCTTCTACGTGACAACACCGGTGATCAAAGAACCCGGTCCAGAACAAGAAAACCAAACACATTAATGTCAGACACCATTTTCTTGGAGATAATGCGGAAAAGGGACTTATTTGTATGAGATTTTGCTACACAGAAGATCAAATTGCAGACATCTTCACTAAAGCTTTGAGCAGGGAACACTTTGAGAGAAATAGGGTGGCACTTGGGTTAATTAAACCTACTTGAGAACCCGGTTCTGCTCACATTACAATGAAAGTCTCATTCAGGTAAAATTGGCTAAAGTATTTTCTGACTAGGCCTAACTCACATCTATACCGTTGCAGGTAAACACACATGACGATTATAGAAGCTAAAGGTACAGTGTTGAACTGCGAAAGAGAGCTGCAAAAACCTTTTACAAAAAACAGGCCAGGAACCAGGTTCCTGTACCACAGGTTAGTAGTAATGTGTTGTTCGCATGCTTTTTCAAAAAGATAACAAATTTAATTCAACTGCCACATCATCCGACTTTTCAGAGTCTGCATATCACGTCTTGTCTCTCAAATCATTTCACTTCCTCTGCACTTTACGTATTCCCACAAACCTACCGCCGTTTCAAAATCTTTCAGAACCCGTTCATCTCCCCTCTCATTATTAGCCCTTCTTCCCATAAAACTTTCTCTCTCGCAGCAGTTCTGAACCTTCATCTCCTCTGCATCTCTGCGATCCCCTCTTCTTCTCTCTCTCACCCAAATTTCTCTACCAAATCTTCTCCCAATGGCAAACGAACAGTCTCTTCCTTCTTCTCCTATCAACACCACTCCCACTTCTCCATCTTCCTTAACATCACCCCCAGAAACCCACTCTTTCACTATCCCCAATACTACTGCACCCACACCGGTTTCCTCCTCATCTCCCGGTTTCCTACTTGTGGGGTCGTATGTTTGACCTGGCAATCTCAGAGATGGAAGGTATGAGGCAAGTTCTGGAGATGGTGGAATTTCAGCAATGAGATCATTTGTTTAAAGAGGATGTGCCTAAGGTGTATGAAGATGCGGTACAAAACTTCTACGCATCTCTCTTCGCTGTTGAAGGGGACCACATTTGTGTGCTAGTAAATGGAGTTGACATTGTGCTTGACGCTTCAGCTTTAGGGAAAGTTCTCCAAGTTGCATGTGAAGGGATGTCCTCAGTCAAGGGTGCTTGTGGAGCTAACTTTAGGCGAGCCATTATGAAAGAGCAGGCTATTCAGCAGGGGGAACGGGTGCATAAGAAGCCACTACTCCCTGAGTATCAGCTTCTCTTTGAGCTGGTCAATAAGGTTCTCTTACCTCGTGCTGAGAAGAGGTCTATAGCTTCAAAGTCTGATCTGGTCTTAATGGAGGCTCTTGATGAGTTTGCGCCGATCAATCTGCCAGCAATTATGATAGAACACATGCAAAGGTGGCAAACTTTCAAGATGGCAATCACGGGCTTCCATATGGATTTCTCCTCACTCGAGTGTTCCAATTCTACAAGGTTCCTCTGGCCAATCCCAAAGTAGGCACCCGCAAGCAAACCTTCTCCAAAACCACTCTGGAAGAGTGTGAGTGTGTAGAAAAGGTTGGGGGAAGCACTTCGACCATTTCTCAGCTGATCAATGCTCAAAATGCTGCTACCGAAGAAATCAGGAGGTTGAGGGCTCAGAATGCCATACTAGAAACTCAGCTTAGTCAAGCTGTTGGGGAACCTGGTTCTGTTAATTCTTCCCATGAAGAAGTTGCCCGCTTGACCAAGGAGAATGCTGAGCTTAGGCACCAAGTGGAGAACCTGCGAGAAAAATTGCTTGAAGAGCAGCTGTCTGCAAATGCCCGTATGGACCGGGTTCTCAAAACCCTTGCTGCCTCCTCCTCCAAGCCTCCCTCTTCTAGTGCCCCCTAGGAACTTCTCAGTGACCAGTTGTCTTCTGTTCTGATGTTTTGTTGTTGTTGTTGTTGTTGTTTTTTGTGATGGCATGTTGGATTTCACCGTTGCTGCTCCTGTTTAATCAGTCCAATTTCTTATCAATGAAACAACTCTTCTTTTGATTGTACAATGCTTGTTTTCCTTTTACTTCTCTTTTCTGTCATGTTGTGTGCACATACGTGACAAGAGTTAGCTATGTTAGACTTCTTTATGCCTTTTTGTCTGCATGTGTCTTTTTGTTGATGCCAAAAGGGGGAAGAATCGATTAAACTGAATAATTATAGCAAGTGATTAAAGGGGAAGCATAGAGTCAGGGGGAAAATATGAGGATGCTGGTACCTTATCTGTTTAAGTTAAGCTCTATACATAGTCCTCAAGGTTAAAAGTTTGTCATCATCAAAAAGGGGGAAATTGAAGGGCTTAAGGTCTTTTAATCTATGTTTTGATGATTTAACAAACATTCTGTATAGAACCAAATAAAGGACCTGATGCTGGCACAATCATTCAAGTTAATCAACTCAAGATAATCTGGTGAGTGTGCCTTAGGATTCACACGAACCAGTTTAGGGACCTGATCTCTTGGTGTTCCTCTGACAGAAGTATAAGTCAACTATACAGCTGGAAAGCAACTGCAGAAAGTAACTACCTACAACTGTGCATGCTACAGTGCAGCAGTCACTTCCCATTGGGAAGAGGCGTGTACCAACCAAGAATAGACATCATCCTTTGGATGTATTTTGGTAGTATAACAACATGGTGTAAGGCATAATATATTCACTTGAGCATTTAGTGATATTCTCTCAAGAATTGAAGATCTGATCCAGCATTGAAGTCACAAGTGTGTCAAGAACAAGAAGACAACTCCACTACAGACCAGTTCCACTACGAGTCTATGTGTGTCCTTAGTTGAGTTGTAATCTTGTTGTTTGTTCTTCATTGTAACTCCTATCTTGCTTTCTTAGAAGCTTTTTTTTTGTTTTAGGAAACTCAAAATCATAAACCATCTGAGTTTGTGTTGTGACTAGAGTTAGTCATAAGTTAAAGTCTTTGTAACTAGTGAGTGACAAAGTGGCTTCTGATAAGTGTATCACAACTTAGAACATTTGAAGTCTTTGTAATAAAGTCATTACAAAGTGACTTGTAATAGTGTAGTTACAAGTTAGTGAAGTTGAAAGCCTACAAGTGTAGGTCGTGATTTTTGTCCCCTTGAGTTGGGATTTTTCCACGTAAAAATCTCGTGTCTCATTTACATACTGTTTTAGTAGTTAGCACTAAGGGAACTGATTTGGACCAGCTCTCTATACAGTTGGTGGACTCATATAAACTATCAGCCCTCAATTGAGGAACCTCCCATTTTGGAGTTGAAGCCCTTGCCCTCACACCTCAGGTATGAATTCTTGGGCCCTAGTTCAACTTTACCTGTTATTCTTTCTTCTTGTCTTACTAACGTGCAGGTAGATGCCACACTGGAGGTGCTCCAAAGAAGGAAGAAGGCAATTGGATAGACTCTAGCTGATATTCGGGGAATAAGCCCCGCCTTTTGCATGCACAAGATTATACTTGAAGATGATGCCAAGCCCTCCGTGGAACATCAAAGGAGGTTGAACGAGGTTATGCAAGAGGTGTCAAAAAGGAGGTGATCGAGTGGCTTGATGCAGGGGTTGTGTATCCCATCTCGGATAGTTCTTGGACTTCACTGGTGCAATGTGTGCTGAAGAAGGGTGGTATGACTGTGGTTACCAATGAGCAAAATGAGTTGATTCCCACCAGGACTGTCACCGGATGGAGGGTGTGCATGGACTACCGCAAGCTGAATAAAGTGACCCGTAAAGATCATTTTCCATTGCCCTTTCTTGACCAAATTCTAGATAGACTTGCTGGGCGTGCCTTCTACTGCTTTCTGGATGGGTACTCAGGTTACAACCAGATTTTGATTGCTCCAAAAGATCAGGAGAAAACCACCTTCACGTGTCCGTATGGCACCTTTGCATTTTCTAGGATGCCATTTGGTTTGTGTACCGGCTACATTTCAGCGGTGTATGATGGCTATATTTACCGACATGGTGGAGGACTTCTTGGAAGTGTTCATGGATGATTTCAGTGTTGTGGGTGACTCTTTTGATGAATGTTTGAAGAATCTTGACAAGGTGTTAGCCCGGTGTGAAGAGACAAATCTTGTGCTTAACTGGGAAAAATGCAACTTTATGGTCGAGGAGGGCATTGTCCTCGACCATAAGATCTCAAAGAACAGAATAGAGGTGGACAAGGCGAAGATTGAAGTGATTTCAAAGTTTCCTCCTCCTACTTCAGTCAAGGGGGTTAGGAGTTTTCTTGGGCATGCGGGGTTCTACCGAAGGTTCATCAAAGACTTTTCTAAGGTGGTGAATCGTTTGTGCAAATTATTGGAAGAGGATGCAAAGTTCGTGTTTAATGAGGAATGCATGAAAGCCTTTGAACTTCACAAGTACAAATTGACAACCACTCCCATATTATCGCACCCAATTGGAGCTTACCTTTTGAGATCATGGGTGATGCAAGTGATGTTGCAGTAGGAGCGGACTTGGGTCAAAGAGTAAACAAGATGTTTCACCCAGTGTATTATGCAAGCAAAACAATGAATGATGCTCAAGTGAATTACACGGTGACGGAAAAAGAGTTGCTAGCAATTGTGTTTGCAATGGAGCAGTTTAGGCCTTATCTCATGGGTGCCAAGGTGATAGTTCATACTAACCATGCAACACTCCGCTACTTGATTACAAAGAAGGATTCTAAAGCTCAGTTGATGAGATGGGTTCTATTGCTTCAAGAGTTTGACCTTGAGATTGTTGATCGAAAAGGGTGTGAAAACCAAGTGGCGGACCACTTTTCCCGCTTGGAGGAGGAGGGGAGGCCCCGTGATGGCCTCGAAATTAATGATTCATTCCCTGATGAGCAACTCCTCTCCGTATCTGTGAATATCATGCCCTGGTTTGCGGATGTTGCCAACTTTCTTGTGACCGGCATTGTCCCGTGTGAGCTCTATTCTAACCAAAGGAAGAAGCTTAAACGGGATAGTTTGGACTACTACTGGGATGAGCCTTACGTGTTCAAAATCTGTAATGATGGTGTGATCCGGAGATGTGTTCCGGAAGAGGAGCAAATGAGTATTCTTGATGTTTGTCATTCCTCTCCCTACAATGGTCATCATGGTGGGGC